TTTAACAACTAAGGCAAAACTAATAAAGACAGCATGGTTTCGTCTACTCGGCTGCCTCTTCTGCGGGAGCTTCCTCTGCGGGCGGAGCAGCCTCCTCTGCGGGAGCGGGCTCCTCAGCGGGCGGTGGTGGCGCCGCTTCTTCTGGTGGAGGCGGTGCCGGCTCTCCGGCAGCTTCTGGTGGAGCTTCTTCTGGGGGCGGCGGGGCAGCCTCCTCGGCTGCGGCAGGTGCTGCTTCCTCCGCAGCCGTCTCTGCCGCAGGAGCTTCTCCCGCTGGCTGAGCTTCCTCAGCCTCAGCTGCTGGCTGAGCTGCTGGCTCTGCTAAATTGGTGACCGAAGTGATGGCCGTGGCCGGAGCAGTGCCCGGGGCAGATGGCGGCACAGTTCCGGGAGCAGTTCCGGGAGCAGTTACGGGAGCAGTTGCCGGTGGTGTTGGACCGGCAGTTATCGCAGCAGTTGTCGGTGCTGTCGTTAGAGTTACGTCATCATATGCATCCTTTCCTGTATCCGGGGAAGAGCTTGCCTCCAGTTCGGTCGCATCCGTTGGCTCCGCACAGGGGTCCACGATTGGCTTGGTAGCAACGCGCTGGAGATTTGGTTATATGTTTATAAACTCAGCAAGATAGAGAAGAGGGCGTACTCTTCCAGCTTTTGTTACATACCAACATGACCTTGCGGAAGAATCTCTGAAGAACGTACGCTGCCTGCTCCCTGCGCCGTTCCTCCCCATTGTCCTCTTTTTCCTGTTGGATTTAAGTCATAACCAGCCGGAGGGACAGTCTATGGAAGGTAGATGCACTTACCGCTGCACAGACGCAGACGCAAACTTCTTGCGGGAACTGGAGGCGCACCCAGTAGCCCCGCCAGGCCGACTGGATCGTGATGGCTGCCTGGTTGCGCATGGCCTCATTGATGCGCTTGAGCTCCCTGTCCCGGAAGTACTGATACAGCAGCTCCGTTCCATCGGCTCCACGTTCAGCGGACATGTAGGCTTCCACAAAGCGCTTGTAGGCACTCTCGATGGCCGGCCGTGACATTACCAGCTCCTCGTCGGTGAGCTTGCACTTCTCCAGCAGCTCCTCCAGGATGTCCACATCCTCGAAGTTAATCGCCTGCTTGCCACGCCGCATCTCGCAGCGCCGTTTCTCGAGGAAGTTGCGGAAACAGTCCTCTATAACCTGGCCCATCAACTCGGACTTTTCCTTGGAGAGATCGCAGATACAGAGGTCCGATATTATGCTGTCCACCTGGCGGAGAGAACGGTCCAAAATGGTCTTGGCCACTAAAAACAAAACAACAAAAAGGTACACGAAATTAAAATCTGAGTACTTTCTACATCCTGCATCCCAGGATTACTTACCCATAGCCTTCTCCCTCGTCACGATCACCGAATGCAGATAGTCGATGATGAACTGGCAGAGGCACTCCTTCTTCGGCTGACATCTCAACACCTCCCGTGTAACATCTGATAGGAGTTCCGGCAGACCCTCGGGCACATTAATCGCCTGTTGGCGCATCTTGCCACGCTGAATCAGGTAATTCATCTTTATTTTTTAGAAGTATGATGCAAATTTCTACAATTTTGAACAGTCAACGGTTTTAGCTGAGAAAAATATGATGCCTTTTTATACGGGCTACTACGGTGAGAGTGAACCAGAATAAAATAATAGGAATTGTGAAAATAATGAATATTTTATGTATATATGTATAAAGTACAAATTCTTCCTAGAATTGGTCATAAATCAAATAATAAATAACAGCGCTCGACAATACTTTTTACACGGACTGACCGCGAACTACCTCGCTAATGTAAAACGTTTAGTTCAGCTTACTTGACCTAGATGGCGCTAGCAGTTGATGCAAAATGATGCTTGTATAAGAAATCGTAATGCCAAGGAAAATCTCAGACCTTCCAGAAAATATGTATATATGTATAAAGTACAAATTCTTCCTAGAATTGGTATAAATCAAATAATAAATAACAGCGCTCGACAATACTTTTTACACGGACTGACCGCGAACTACCTCGCTAATGTAAAACGTTTAGTTCAGCTTACTTGACCTAGATGGCGCTAGCAGTTGATGCAAAATGATGCTTGTATAAGAAATCGTAATGCCAAGGAAAATCTCAGACCTTCCAGAAAATATGTATATATGTATAAAGTACAAATTCTTCCTAGAATTGGTATAAATCAAATAATAAATAACAGCGCTCGACAATACTTTTTACACGGACTGACCGCGAACTACCTCGCTAATGTAAAACGTTTAGTTCAGCTTACTTGACCTAGATGGCGCTAGCATTTGATGCAAAATGATGCTTGTATAAGAAATCGTAATTCCAAGTAAAATCTCAGACCTTCCAGAAAATCACATTTTTAATATGAGCGAGATAATAAATAAAAAAAAGGTAGAACGACTTTTTTTTAAATATGATCTCCAGAGATCTGCGACCGTTTCATTTGTTACACCCGCAGGATTTTCATTCGTTACATGTGTTAAACATTTAATAAAACAGTTTCACATGTGTCCCTGCGAATTCTCAAAGTCCACTCTTACTTTGTATTATGTAAAGTGAAGAAAATGTAAATCGAACCTGTGTTTTATATAGGTAAAAGTGCACCCTTGTACCTTTCAACGAAAGTGGGCGTGTGTCCGAAATTAGCACTGCCTACTTTTGTATTCAGCCGGTGTAGGGTATCAACGGGGTTCTTGATGGATTCTTCTCTATCAAAATACATTGAACCGGTTTCCTTTTCTTTTATTTTAGCTGATCTTTAACACAGGAACTTGGTAATTTAACAAAGTTAGCTCCAAAACAAAATACCTTTGATTTTGGTAGGTAGTCCTACACATACGTACATGTATAGTTAGGGCACTGTATACGAGCAACAGTGGCGTGCGCAGTGGGGGTCTAGTAATTAAAAATACACTTTTCAAAATCTAACTTTAAGGTATGTTAAAACAGCTTATAAATTACAATGATCAAACTACTTCAACAATATGTAACTCATATTTTCTATCAATAACAATTTAAAATAATAAATGGAGCCCCTTACACCCTTACAATCTCCTCCCATGGATTTCGCCTCCAAAAGCTGTGTATAAAAGCTGTTTTCCTCGGTTGTATTTCGATCGGCTCGTCGACGAATGCGAAAAAGCTTTCACTACCTCGATCGCAATCGCAATCGGCACTACGGGCTTGGGATCAGTTGGCGACGGAATGCAGCAGCTGATCAGAGTGGCGCGGACGTTGGGTGAGGAACTGGGTGATCACAGCTGTCTGGATGATCGATTGCCGCCTCCGTCTTCGCAGGTCAACGCTCGAGCGGCGCATGGGGTGTGTGGGGGACTGGAGGCGGAAACCGGGGAATCGCCTGCCTGGCCGCGCTCTCCGAGACCCACCAGATTCTCCAGAAGACTTGCCGGGAGTTCGCCAATGCGGAGCTGGCTCCCAAAGCGCGCCACCATGACCGGGAGGAGCTTTATCCGGCGGAACAGGTTCGGCGGTTGGGAGAACTCGGTCTTATGTCGGTGGCGGTACGAGAGGAGTATGGTGAGTACTTATTTAAATATTAATACCTACTTTAAATATTAAAAATATTTACTTAACAAAGTAGAGTAGCTGATGAAGCCTTATAAATAGATCATACCACTATCCAAATACAAAATGTATCCAAGTTGAAATGCTCCAAGCAAAAGCTTAATATTAAATATTAATTTTAAAGGCGGTTCCGGACTGGATTACCAGGCCTACGCGATTGGCATGGAGGAGGTGGCTCGAGGTGATGCCGCCGTATCCATTGTGATGGGCGTGAATAACCTGTACCTGGGTGCAGTGCAGCAGCATGGAACCGAGCAGCAGAAGCAGGAGTTCCTGCTGCCGTACACCCAGGGTGACCACATCGCCTTCTACGCATTATCGGAGCCCGGAAACGGATCGGATGCAGGAGCTGCCAGCACCACGGCCAAGTTGCAAGGGGACAGCTACCAAATAAACGGCACTAAAGCGTGGATCTCCAACTCCAAAGAGGCCAGCGGGGGAATCGTCTTCGCCACGGTGGACAAGAGCCTGAAACACAAGGGAATCACCGCCTTTCTCACGCCCAAGGACGTTCCAGGATTAACCATAGCCAAGAAGGAAAGCAAAATGGGCATGAGAGCCACTTCGACTTGCCAACTAGTGCTGGAGGACGTGCAGGTGCCGCGTTCCCGGGTCCTTGGAGCTCCCGGGGATGGCTTCAAGATCGCCATGCAGTCCTTGGACTGTGGACGGATCGGTATAGCCGCCCAGGCCACAGGCATCGCACAAGCTGCCCTGGAATTGGCCGTGGACTACTCGCAGAAGAGGGTGGCCTTCGGGAAGCAGCTGGCACGGATGCAGCTCATCCAGCAGAAGCTGGCCGACATGGCCACGCGGGTGGAGACCTCGAGGCTGCTTACCTGGCGTGCCGCTTGGCTGAAGGATAATGGGCTGCCCATCACAAAGGAGGCAGCGATGGCCAAGCTTCTTGCCTCCGAGGCAGCCACCTATTGTGCCCACCAGTGCATCCAGGTCCTGGGCGGGATGGGGTACACCATCGATCTGCCTGCAGAGCTTTATTACCGCAACGCTCGTGTCACAGAGATTTACGAGGGAACTTCCGAAATCCAAAGAATTGTGATCGCCAACGCAGTACTCCGGGAATTGGGAAGGGAGTGAAGCATTTGATGGTTTTTCTTGATTACTGCTGCCAAACAAATCAGAATTCTTACATTTACCCTTGTTATACATATGTATGTGTAAATTAGTTTAAATATGCCAGAGAAAAGCATTTAATAAAGTAGATTCAAACGAATAAAACTTGAATTCAAAAAATCGTTATTTGATTAATTTTTACCGCTTAGGAATTAAGTACCGGTTCGCACTCAACAGTATTTTAACATTCCTACCAACAGTGAAATGTAAACTAACATAATTTGAATGGACATAGACCGGCAACATGAGAGAAAATATCGATGTTGCCAATCATCGATAAATAAACCGATTTAATTACAGCTGCTCCGTTGTTATTGTTTCGTCAATTTAAATAAAATTAATTTTTACGGCTAAATGACGGCCAATTTGTTAAATCTAAACGTGGACACGCTGTTTGAGCAGCACAGCGTGTCCGAGATAGACGCGGTGCACAAAAAGATCCAGTCGGTGGTGGAGAACAAGCGCGAGGAGCTGCGCACCCATGTCGGGTAAGTGATGTGGCACATCCAGATCTGCGGCCATAAACATTTTAAATGTTGAAGGGAGCGGTACCGCGATCTTCTGCAGGCGGCAGACACCATTGCGGCAATGCAAACGTCAGCCGGCACACTTATGGAGCAAGTGCAGCACGTGCAGGCCAATTGCCGCAGTCTGAACGAGCAGCAGCTCCTGGGCTTTCAGTCTACTGCCAATGCAAGCGCTAAAGATGCCGCACTGCAGGAGAGGAACGCCGGAAAGAAGCTGCAGACCTATTACGGTACCATGGCTCAGATCAAGTTGCTCACTGCCCTGCCGGAACTTATCTGGACGCACTTGGACAACGATCGCTTCTACGCCGCCACCGAGCTGTTCATCTTCAGTCGGCACATAAGTACGGGCTTGCAACTGGATGGCCAGAGTGCCCTGATGCAGAAACTTCCGGTTGCGCGAAAGCAATGGGAAATCCTGCGTCCCTTCCACGTGACCATCAAACAAGCCATACTGACCGCACTGGAGAGAGAGGAACTCCTACCCGAAATGGCTGTTGACTGCCTGCAGAGCCTTCTCTTGCTAGACAAAAGTGATCTCAGTGCTGTCCTGAAATCCTTCTTGAACCTGCGCTCTTCAGCTTTTCTGAACTGCCTGCAAAGCGGACCATCGGAGTCACGTCGCGTCAAGGATCGAATCCTGGCTAGCCTAAACGTGCTTAACAGCACCGTGGACCTGCTGGACAAGTGTCTTTTGGGTAACTTGCCATTTGTAGATAAGCAAACAAGTACTGATCGAAGTGGGATACTCAAGATGCACTTCCTTTGAAACTAGTTACTTGCGGAGGAGTCATGAATATTATTATTGAATCGGTATTCTCTCTCCTACAGGTGACAGCCTTCTCTTTAGGCGCCTGGAGGAATGCGCCTCTTCTACGTGTCCACCCAGCATCAACCGAATGGAGAGTAGCGAGCGCCAGCTCGTTCATCTTTTACCCGATATCATCGCCTGTTTTAAGCCACAATTTGAGGTCCCTCAGCTAGCACCTGAGCAGATGGGTTCTTCACTCCAACAATGGCTAGATAAAATGAATGCTTTGGCAGCGGCACACTTGCAGCAAGTCTTTGCACTAGTTAGCAACATGCAGACGATTCAGGATATTAAATCAGCGGCCAGGACTAATGGTCGACCGGACTTTGTTCGCCTAGAAATGCAACTGCATCTAAAGCATAGCCAGTTGGACTTCTACGCCCGAAAGTACGTGCCGTTGATCAACGCCAGAGTGCGAGAGATAATCCGCAGCAGCTGGGCGTCCGCTATGAAGCAGACCTACGAACAGGTACTCCTGCTTATCGAATCCGGACAGTCGCAACCGCCTCAGCAAATTTGGCGAGAGCAGAGTGATGATTTACCTTTAAGCTTAGCGGCAGCGCTCAGCGATCAACCAAAGCGACTGGCTAATAGGACAAAGGGATACGATGGCGCTACAATAGAACTGTGTAAACGTTTTGACTCACATCTGGCGGATATCGTCCAGGAGCTAAATGTGATGTTACAGGAACCAACGACGAGAGTTGAGGACAAGGTTTCACTCATCGAGTTCCTGCGCAAAACGGCCGAGGAGCAGTTGACAGAGTATTTGACCAACTTAAAAGGACTACAGCTAAGGGAACGGCCTGCTTTGCTCCTAGCTTTGCGAAATAGTCTCGCCTTGGTGGAACTGTGCCCCAATTTAAAACTGTGCTTCTGTCAACAGTCCAGTTGGCGGCAGTGGACTGACAATTCGGCGGGAATGGGAATCGAGCATTGGCAGCGCATTTGCGGCCTGATCGAAGAGGAGATGCTATCCTTTTGGCTGCTTATTGTTGACGATGTGTTGGCCGGCCACAATTGCGAAGAGAAGCTGCCGAAGGTCATTAATCACGAAGTGGTTCTTAGCGATTTTGCGGTAATTATATTCAAATAAAACTTGTTTATTTAATATAACATAATTTAATTCTTGAGTAGCTTTGGCAGACCTTAACACTGGAACAGCGTGACGAGGACCAGGAGCAGAGTGTTCACTCTACCATTCGAATCCCCAGTCAGCCGCGACTTTCTCTGCAGACGTATCTTCATCAGTTAATTCAGGCGTTGAATTTGGTTGTTCCCCAAACTCTGCCACCCAAAGTATTGCAAGCATTCATCCAGCGCCTCATAGGAAAACTACTTTGCCACTACGAACGATTGGCCCATGCGGATTGCACCAAAGCCAGTCAGAATATTGCCCTGCAATTATACTTTGATCTTAAGTTCCTGGAGCGCGTGTTCGCCATTTCACGTGAGGATCGGACTCTCTACGACCAGATCCACGCCCAGCAGAACCAACTGCGCGATTGCATAGATCCCTTTGATTTCGAGCTGTTTGCCGAGCACATAACCACGCATGTGTCTCGAGCTGCAAGCCGTCTGCAGGGTGAACTAGGAGTGCTCACACCCTCGTCAGCTGCTCCCAGTCAGGCCGCCACAGCTGTCAGTTCTTTGGCCCATGAGTCAGATCCCAATGTGCTGTGTCTGAGCTCCTCCGGATCTACGTCGCTGTGGTTCCCTTTGCTGCCCATTGTGATGCCCCAAGCTGCCGGAAGAGTTACTAGCACTGAGCGGAAATCTCTGGCACTAGAGCCAGTGGAGAAGGTGAGTAAAAATAGTGAAGATATACAGGGCTGTCGGCGTTGGCTTCAAGAGTATGTCTTCAATTCGATTTGAACACCTGTTCTGGATTTCAAATCCTATTATAAGCTTTACATTTATTATTCGAAATTGATTTGCTGAAGGATGATGTCGACAGCCCCAATAGACGTATAGTTTACCTTTTACCGAGTTTATCGAGTCATAATGCTACATTCCCATGTTTCTTTCATAGGATTTCTATCGATTGTATTCCTAAGTCAATAATTTCAACATTTGCTCTGGTTGGGTAGGAATGGTATTTGACTGTTGATACTTTGTTATCATCGTTTGCATGCTGCATGATATTGATTGTTTAACCAATACTTATTAATAGTGGGCAGAATAGCCCCATTGCTCTTATTAGGTGCTTCATTTCCAAATTTGGAAACCTCTTCTAGCAGCAGCAGCAGTTTAATTAAACTAATTTGCTCCATCCAGCAATAAATAAACCAGAATGCCGCAAGACAAATTTTAATTAGGTGCAACTTTCTGCCGCCCCTTGCTAACCGCTCCTCCCCACTTCGCCCGCAAGTGGTTGGCAAAAGTTTCGCTTGAAACCGAACCCGAAATTTCCAAGTGGATGGCCAGAACATCGGCAGAATGATTATGTATATATTACGGGCGCGTATACGAGTGCCTTAGATGCTAATTAATGAATCGCTGCAATTATTGAAATCAAATCGCTGGGCAAATGTTAATTTATGGCCATGGCTACTTGGCCGTTACTCGCATGTTTTGTAATTAGCTGCGATCTCCGGCGGTATAAATCGTTCTCTAATTATGTCTGCTTTCCATTTGTTGCTGTTTGTTGCTCGCGATAAATCTGAGAGTCCAACGGCAAATTAACAGATTAATCAGACAAACTACCAATTAATAGTACTAATTAATTAATAACATTTCTCTTTATCCCTCTATCTCTGCTTTCACCCATAGACGGCGACAACGACGCCAACGAGGAAGTCGGGTGGCAATGGAGCCCGCAAGGGAGACGGCAGCAAATCCAAATCCAGCGCGTCTTCCTTCTTCGGGATGTCCCAGGAGTGGTTCCGCTAGAGGATTCAAATCAAGTGGCCTGTGAAGTGCATTCGAGTGGAATGCGGATGGAAGCGCGGAGCGCCGAGCAGCATTGTTAAGCCAGCCGAGCATTTAAAATGTTTAACCTATATCCAAACATACGAGTACTTGTAGAACAGGCGGGCAGCGCCCAGTAATTGTAAGAAAGTCACATACATTATAGAAATATACACCCTGATATCACTTTTAATTTCAACTTAACTCTAAATTTGTAATTTTTAATGCGCTTTGATGTTGCCACGGTTGCTATTTCTTGCCTCCCTTCTTGCCACCGCCTGCGGCTGCCTTTTGGTCCTGTCCTTTCTTGGCTCCACCTTTGTCACCGCCGCCTCCATCGCCGCCTTTGTTTTTATTTCCGGAGCCTCCACCGCCGCCGCCGCCGCCTCCACCTCCGCCGCCCTTTTTCTGTGGGCAAAGAAGCACGGAAAGATTTCGCTTTGAGCTGGGACCGAGCAAATAACGAGCCACGGTTGTTTAAGGTTGCGCAGCGAAGTCAGTAAATGAGAAAAAGGTTAGTTGTGCCACGATTGCAATGGGGAGACCCTTATTCCAAAGGGCCAGAGATTCTTTAATTACGTACAGCAGAAGCTATTATCCGCATGATAATATTGTAATTATCTTCTGTCCACTTATTTGTGGTCTAAAACAACGTATTTATATAAATAGGTAGCACTAAATTGTTAAGTTTAATCTCAAAGTTAATAATCCTAGTGCACTTTCAAGTCCATCTAAAGCTTTTATTTAATTCGGCATTGCTTTTATAAATGGTTAGGAAACACAGACATTTTTGCTTTGAAAGTTGGACAACAAATTATTTTAAAATTGTGGAAATGTAAGGATAAAGTTAAATATTGTTAAATTGCTACTTAGAAGTTTATTGGGACCATGAGCGGATTGAGCATGAGCTGGCACTAAGATGAGGATTACAAGTAGTTAGACTCACAATTAGTACGCAAGTTGCATAACACAAATATTGCTTACATTGCCGCCGCCTCCACCACCTCCACCTCCTCCTCCTCCACCGCCGCCGCCTCCTTTATTTTTACCCATTCTATCAACTTCTCGGAAAGGCAATTATTTTATTTATTTGGTTTAGTTTGCGGTGCTTGCTGTTGCTTTTGGCTAGAGTAAACTTATGCCAGAGCTGGCAAATTGCAACTAATAAGCAGCACCATTGCCGCAAAGCGAAATGCATGAAATTAAATCATTTGGCCAGAAAAAGAAGGCCAAAATGAACGTTGCGAGCAAAACACAAATGCGCAACAGCCAACGGCGGAAGGCGGCAGGGGAAGGGGGAAGGCGCCAATGAATTTGGGCGGCGATGGGAGAAGGGGATGGGTTGGGATGACCAGGGGGACTTGGCCCCGGGTATAGGAAATTTGGCTGCTATGGCCAATGGCTCTTAACTGATTTAATCATCGCCCTGGCACCTCTCTTTGCGGCCGGAAGAAATGGGAAGAGTTTCTCTCGCGGCGACCATTGGATTATTTTGTAGTGCTTCTCCTCCATCGCTTTTGGCTCTTTGCTTCCGATTGCGATTCTGTTTCGGTTTCGGTTTTGCATTTTCATTTGCATTTGGCCATATGCGCCCATGGCCATGGCATTGACATTGGCCACCTCTCGCATTTCTGGTCTGCGGCCAATGGAAGGCAATACGTCGTTAATCCCATGGCTCAGTCGCGAATCCCACGGATACGGGCAGTGCAACAAGATCCTATTTATAGATGCAACGAGAATCGATGGTGATAGCCTGGGCCAAGAGAGATTTTGGCGGATTTCAATCGGAAAGCAATGGCCCAGAAGGCGATTGAATACGCTAATGTATGCAGAAAGCGAAGAATCGGAAGATTGAATGAGGGAGATAGCCAGAGACAGCAGAATTGATTATGGGCTTTAGGAGGTAATTTAATTGGAGAATATGGCCCAAACAAAAGTCATTTCTCTAAGAATCTGCATTCAAATTTAGGAATTTATTTTTTTGTCATTTTTTTGAGGTGATGTAGAAATTTTAAAAAAATTAAGAAATGCTCCAAGGCTGAAGTTCTAAGCTCCATAACTCAACTTATTTTAATCGGATTTTGAAGTGGCATACCTCTAAATGTTTCTGGCGCAATTCTCTAAAAATCTGCATTCAAATTTAAAATTTTATTTTTTTAAATTTTTTTGTCATTTTTTTGATGTGATATTGTAGAAATTCAAAAAAAATTAAGAAATGCCACAAGGCTGAAGTTCTAAGCTCCATAACTCAACTTATTTCAATCGGATTTTGAAGTGGAATACCTCTAAATGTTTCTGGCGCAATTCTCTAAAAATCTGCATTCAAATTTAGAATTTTATTTTTTTTTCATTTTTTTGTCATTTTTTTGATGTGATATTGTAGAAATTCAAAAAAATTAAGAAATGCCCCAAGGCTGAAGTTCTAAGCTCCATAACTGAACTTATTTCAATCGGATTTTGAAGTGGAATACCTCTAAATGTTTCTGGCGCAATTCTCTAAAAATCTGCATTCAAATTTAGAATTTTATTTTTTTTTCATTTTTTTGTCATTTTTTTGATGTGATATTGTAGAAATTCAAAAAAATTAAGAAATGCCCCAAGGCTGAAGTTCTAAGCTCCATTACTCAACCTATTTTAATCGGATTTTGAAGTGGCATACCTCTAAATGTTTCTGGCGCAATTCTCTAAAAATCTGCATTCAAATTTATAATTTTATTTTTTTTTCATTTTTTTGTCATTTTTTTGATGTGATATTGTAGAAATTCAAAAAAATTAAGAAATGCCCCAAGGCTGAAGTTCTAAGCTCCATTACTCAACCTATTTTAATCGGATTTTGAAGTGGAATACCTCTAAATGTTTCTGGCGCAATTCTCTAAAAATCTGCATTCAAATTTAGATTTTTAATTTTTTTTCATTTTTTTGTCATTTTTTTGATGTGATATTGTAGAAATTCAAAAAAATTAAGAAATGCCCCAAGGCTGAAGTTCTAAGCTCCATTACTCAACTTATTTCAATCTGATTTTGAAGTGGAATACCTCTAAATGTTTCTGGCGCACTTCTCTAAAAATCTGCATTCAAATTTAGAATTTTATTTTTTTTTTAATTTTCTTGTAATTTTTTTTATGTGATATTGTAGAAATTCAAAAAAATTAAGAAATGCCCCAAGGCTGAAGTTCTAAGCTCCATAACTCAACTTATGTCAATCGGATTTTGAAGTGGAATACCTCTAAATGTTTCTGGCGCAATTCTCTAAAAATCTGCATTCAAATTTAGAATTTTATTTTATTTTAATTTTCTTGTAATTTTTTTTATGTAGAAATTCAAAAAAATTAAGAAATGCCACAAGGCTGAAGTTCTAAGCTCCATAACTCAACTTATTTCAATCGGATTTTGAAGTGGAATACCTCTAAATGTTTCTGGCGCACTTCTCTAAAAATCTGCATTCAAATTTAGAATTTTATTTTTTTAATGTTTTTGTCATTTTTTTGATGTGATATTGTAGAAATTCAAAAAAATTAAGAAATGCCCCAAGGCTGAAGTTCTAAGATCCATAACTCAACTTATGTCAATCGGATTTTGAAGTGGAATACCTCTAAATGTTTCTGGCGCAATTCTCTAAAAATCTGCATTCAAATTTAGAATTTTATTTTTTTTTTAATTTTTTTTAATTTTTTTGATGTGATATTGTAGAAATTCAAAAAAATTAAGAAATGCCCCAAGGCTGAAGTTCTAAGCTCCATAACTCAACTTATGTCAATCGGATTTTGAAGTGGAATACCTCTAAATGTTTCTGGCGCAATTCTCTAAAAATCTGCATTCAAATTTAGAATTTTATTTTATTTTAATTTTTTTGTAATTTTTTTGATGTAGAAATTTAAAAAAAATTAAGAAATGCCCCAAGGCTGAAGTTCTAAGCTAATTTTATAAAATTTTTATTTTATGTCCGTTGTCCGTCCGTCTGCCTGTCTGTCCGTATGAACGCCTCGATCTTAGGAACTACAAAAGATAGAATGTTGAGATTAAGCATGCAGCTTAAATGCATGCAGCGAAATTCGGGAACTTTTTATTTATTTGAATAGCAATAGCCCAATTAAATTACATTTAAAAGCTTTGAATGTAAAACTTACTATGCTGATTTACCTTTACAGCTGCTCCTTAATTACTACGCCAGTTCACTAGGCGGATTGTTAATTGGAATGGAATACATTTAACAGCTTTTCACCTGCCTGCGTTGCAAAGAAAACTGTCCGAGTCTGAATTTCTTCATATGCTAATTACAGTTATCAAAAAGTTTTTCTGTCGCTGCCAGCGGACACTGGAAACTCAATGCATACATAATGAGATATTCTACTTTTCCTGCAGCTTTTCGTCAGGCACTCCCAGTTTCCCCCCAAGACAGATGTTTGAAAATAGAGTGGCAAGAGAAGGGAAACCCGTCGGTGTCAGCTAATTAAATTAGATGTTTTATATGGCGAGCCATAAGTGAAACCGATATCACCCGATGAAAATGAAAACACCACGTCGAGGAGAACTCAACAAGTCCAAATCTGCACATGGCAACTAGCGTGGAGCCAAATTAGAAGTGAAAAGTATGAAATAAGCTCATAAAATTACGCTCACACATGCTCCGGAAAACGGATTTTCAGCAGAGGAGATGGGAATGGGATTGGGATTGGGAATGAGAATCCGCAGGCGAGGCTAACAAAGTCGCAGGTCCGGACATTTGCTGCAGGTGCAGCCGGCGAAACTTGCACCTGAAAGATAAACCCCCTCACCTGCCGAGCTGGACGGACACTTTGAATTTAAACGAAATGGGCGGACTTTCTGGGAATGGCTAAATACATACGGAAAGGCGAGAGAGACAGTCGGGATAAGTAAGGAGAATTGGCTCTGTAAAAGTGCGGAACTTTAATTAAGTTTTGGTTCTCCCAGCTGACTGACATCTTGAATTACAAATGAAAAACTTGTGTGCAGCAGCAGAAGGGAAGGCGGCCAAAGGAAACCGGCCAAAAAGAAGCGACACAAAAAAGATTTAAAAAAAGTATAAATAAAAAAGATGAAATGAAAGAAAAGAAAAGAAAAGAAAAGAAAAGTGAGTGAAAAACCAGGAAAAACCAGTGCATAATAACACACTGAACTGCAAGAGGTGGAGCTGCAGGAGCAAAAAGCATTTCCTGCAACAGAATGCGAATAAGTTGCACAGCCAGCAGCTTACGAAAAGAAAATAAAGAAAAGCCCAACCACTGGGCGGGAAACCCAAACAACTACCTTAGCCAGTTGGCCAGTTGGCCAGTTAGCCAGTTAGCCGCCATAAGAATATCCAACTAACTGGGACCGCGAACATCTTTCAACTGGCCGGCCCTTAAAGTACGCCGATCCCAAAATCGAACAAGAGCAGCAGCGACAAAAGTATGTATGTAGGTATGTCGATTCATGGACAGCCAGAGGAAATTCTTCCGGCGGAAGGGTGTATACGGAATACCCTTAGATAAGCCCGTGCCGATTATCAAATTCCATTTCCTCCGTTTCACGTAATTCCCGCCCGGGATGACGATAGTTTCAGTTCGGAAAAATTAATTCCCCACTTCAATTCATAACTCGATAAGATTACCACAAATCAAAGCAAACCAGACTGCAATTTCTGTGATGTCGGGTACACAAACCACCAGAGGAACCAGAGGAACCTTATCAAAACCCCATTAGGCCATTACAACTAAGCTCACACAGCAAGTATGGACTTAGTTCCCAGGCACTTCGATTTTAACTACCCAAAACAACATTATCGTAAGCATACTTATAATCGAATGAAATGGAAAGCTATAAGCTGTTGAAAATCTGCTTTGATGATCCGATGCGCAGCAATTGTTTCTACGTGTTGGGAAGTTAAATTTGTAATATCGCTGAAATAGGAAATATAATAGCAATAAAAATGAAATTGATAATAAAATGTAAAGCCCACAGCACCCAGATTGTTGTATTTACCAGGGTAAAACCCTAAGAGCAACCACAAGTCTCCTGTAACCGGAACTTTATCCACGAACGAACTTCATCATCGGCAGCCTTGCCACAGAATTGGGTTTTAGTTCACGTGCCACCGGGAACGGAAAGTTGAGTTTCTCTGCCGGCTGCCATTGCTGGAAAATCAGGAAACAGATGTTTGCAAATATCTTGCAAGCGAACTTTTTCGCCAAGGTATTTAAATAACGTTTTCGCTGCACCAACTTTTTGTCAGCCGCAGCGCAGAAAAACGTCCAAATAAACGACAAAAATGTGAGAAAAAGCATTGAGGGATGGCAGAAAGAAAACCCATTCAATTTCACTGAATGGGGTGTATTTCATTTGGTTGAATTTCCCGAATTATCGTGGCTCTGTTGAATAGGGTATCATGTTGTATTCATATCAAAAGGCCGGCTAAATATACCCCGAAGTAATCCGAAGGTAAACATATTAAGAGCGCGTGTCCATCGATAGGGATCCATCGGTGACTAATTAAAATGTGGGAAAAAGCCGAAACTTTCCATTCATTTTCTGGTATCACGCATTTAAAAGTCATAAGGTATTCCCAGATCAAAGTCCAAAGTTTATAAAACAAACTGTAGGTTCCCAAAAAATAGGGGGTTTTTGGCATTTAATATTCAGCGGAGGCTAAAGGACTTGTATTTCAAAAAATATATCTCCTGACTCTGATTATTGTTCTGTCGTATGTCGCGTTACGTAAGTCCTGCAGATAAGGGGAAATACACAACCAGTAACGAAGATAAAACCATCTGGCAATTAGGGATGGGGCTGTTCTCATTGAACGGCAAGTGGCTAAAAGTTAATAGCTCTTATCACGACTAAGGACACACTTCAATTAAAGAACCTAACGAACGCCATCCGATTAGTTTCAATAAATATATGCATACATGCCAGTCGGGTGGTCAACTTTGGTCAATGCCTTTTATCTTTCATTGATACCTTGCACTTAACCTAGGCTATGCTTATCATCTTCAGATAAGCTTTTGGGAATCCGTGTCTTTATAAGTAGCCCCTTCGAGCGAGTAGCTCCTCAGATAGTGGTCGATCTTTCGGGTGTGCATTCAACCTTTATTGCAGCAAAAATGTCCAAGTTACCGTGCAGCTACGATGCGGAAAACAAGATCTGGAAGGGTATTCCGCAGAACAACCCCTTCAAGCCGGAGACCTCCCTGGGTCGCATCATCTTCAAGAACATGAGGAACTGCCCCAAGAACGTGTGTCAGGTGAGTGGAGTGGACTCGGATCTGCTCCGATGACTTCCCTGATGTTCCGTCTTTCTTCAGATTTCCGACTCCGAGGGTGTGGAGGTCACCTACGGACAGGCTCTCACCTGGGCTATTCGCATTGCCCAGCACCTGAAGAGCCGCGGTCTTGACCACAAGGACATCATTGGCATCTCTGCCAGGAACACCACCTACATCATGCCCACGGCCGTGGCCTGTTTCTTCCATGGCACTCCCTTCCAGTCCGCTAATCCCATTCTCGAGGAATGTACGTACTATCAACTAAAAGATTATTGGTTATCCATGACTTTGTCATAATATTACATCCATTAAAATAAATATTTGATCTTAAATTTATTTAGCTACTCTCAAGCACCTGTACACCATTTCCAAGCCAAAGATTATCTTTACCGATGCTGATCACTACGAAAAACTGTACTCGGCCACCAGCGAGTTCAAGCCAGAGATTATCCTAGCCACCGGAACTCGGGATGGTGTTCTCAGCATTCAGGATCTGCTCCATCCGACAAAGACAGAGTTCTTCTACCAGTGAGTGTGCCATAGAGCATAGCATTATATACGCCGGGTGTTATCTTAAAAGTATTCCATATTTGTTAGGCCTACCCCGTTGAAGGAAGGACCTTCGCAAACCGTTGCGATCCTCACCTCATCCGGAACCACAGGAATGCCCAAGGCTGTGTGCATCTCAAACGATATTCTCACCCAGGAGACAGTGTAGGTCAAACTATATTTATACTCCTATTAAAAGCCTACGAAAATTAAAAAACGTTTTTGAACTCTTTACAGCTTCGTTAATGGTTACGATACCATCTTCATTTCGGCCAGTTTGGACTGGATCACTGGACTGTGGGCCACCATCTTCAGCACGGTCAACGGATGCACCAGGATCATCAGCAGCAAGCCCTTCGCCGCGGACTACTTTGTGTACTTAGTGAGCAAGTACAGCATCACGTATGCACTGATTCCGCCGGAGCACTGCTGTTCCCTGCTGGACTGTCCCAGCGCCACTCCGGAGAAGTTGGCCAGCCTGACGAAGCTGAACTTCGGAGGCGGACGGATGACACAGACCACGGTTGAGAGGATCAAGAAGCTGGCTCCCAACGGAGTGCTGAACTCGTCTTACGGCATGACTGAGGTTGGATTCATAGTGTTCAACCACGGACACTTGAAGCTCACCGCTGCGGGCAACCCATTGCCCGGAATCCAGGTGAAGATCGTGGACGACGATGGCAACCAATTGGGTGTGAACCAGACGGGCGAGATCATTGTGCACAACGGCTTCAGCTGGAATGGATACTTTGCCGATCCGGAGGCCACCAAGGAGATGCAGGACGAGGACGGCTGGTTCCACACGGGCGACATGGGCTACTTCGACGAGGACGACTACCTCTACATGACGGACCGCAAGAAGGAGGTGCTCAAGTGGAAGGGTCTCCAGATGTGGCCCGCCGAGGTGGAGGCGGTCATCGACGAGCTGCCGGAGGTGAAGCGGGTGTGCGTGATCGGAGTGTACGACGAGACCCAGGGAGATGTGCCTGGTGCCCTGATTGTTCGGGAGGATAATGCCACCCTGACCGCCCAGCAGGTGATTGACCACGTGGCCAAGCGACTGCCCGACATCCAGAAGCAGCTGCGAGCCGGTGTCCAGTTCGCTGATGAGATTCCCCAGAACTACAATGGAAAGGCCGTCCGCCGATACGCCCGCGATCTGTTCGTCGCCTTGTCCAAGAAGAACTGAAAACCGAGAACTGCCGTGCTTTCGTTTGGAATAATTTATCCTTGATTAAGTTTATTAAGTTAGGCAAACCTGTTGAATTTGCCCTTCAAACCTTTTGAAAAGTCGCCCACCACGTTCAATTCTCTGAATAATGTCTATGTGCACTTTTTGAATAAACAAAATAGCCTTCTTATAGCCAAATATTTCCCAGTTATATCATATCTAGATCTAGACTGATTGAAAACTTGTATCTTATTCCTCAAAGTGGTTTTTATTGGATAAACCGCCTTCATTCATTTTGCCCAAGTCCACCTACTTTGTGTCCTGGGTCAAGGAAACATCACAAATCTCTGCGAAATACCCACAGCATCAATAACATTTCAAAAAACAATTGCCGACAACATTTGATTAACGCTGCCATCCCATCAATTTGGTTATAAAAATATTGTGTGAGTTTGGGCGGGAATTTGGGCCATAACTCAACTGAAATTGTGTCGCTGTTTCTTTATGGCTAAACACTTTCATTGGGTAAACAAAGAATTGCCATTTTGCGTCAAGGGCCGTGACTCCTCCCCCGCCCCGCCATCCGATAAAAAGCATTTTATTTAGTCATAAAAATCGCACGCATAGAATTGGCCAGGGGTTACCAAGGGGTGCCAAATCACGGGGGCCACACAAAAAGAAGCTTTTCACGAAATTAAAGGTAAATAAAATGTTTATGAGTGGAGAGCAAAGCGCTCATATGATTTCACATTCGATTGAATAACATTTACACACGCAGGCGAGCGCCGCACGAAGGATTCGCAATCTGTGCCCGGATCTCCATGCTCCGTGCTCCATGCTCCGCGGAATCCTTGGCTGGCTGAGGGATGCCAGGCACCCAAAGACGGGCAATAAATTCAAACATGTGCACATAAATTTTTATTTCGATTTGCTGAGCCGCTGTCAGTGATGTCCTGTCCCGCCACACCGCTACCCCGCTACCCCGCTACCCCGCTACCCCCTTTCCCCATCCGGTTTTATGAACTGTGAATATGCGCATGATGAAGTTGCCAAAGGATCTCGGCGGAAGTGAATCGTTCGGCATGCGGTTCCCTCGCTGTGCGTGTGTTTGTGGGGGCGCCCGTCGAAAGGGGGCGCCTGCAGGAGGGGCGTGGCAGACGTCGACGGCTTCGCAAATTATTGCATCTGGGTGTGCTGGTAAATCAGGCGATGGGCAAAATGCTATATTATCGACACAAAATTGAAGGTGTTGTGCCGGAATTTGGGGCTCAAATTCTTAGCAATATAGTTGGTCGATTTATTCATTCATCTGTTAAATATAATCTTTGACTACCTTATAGAGGATAAGTACGTATTTTGAAATTACAATTTTAAAGTAGCTGAAGCGCTATTTATTGTCCTGAAAAGCGATTGTTTTGTCCACTGTTCCGGCTGCTGTGGAAGCAGCAACACGAGGGGAAATCGTAGCCGTCAGTCAATTGACTTGTCTAAAAGCGGGGAATCGGATTGCGAATGCGGAAGTCAGTGGCCAACGATCCCCCCGCTGGCATAAGTCAAATATCGAAAACGTCAGACGCTGATTGAAGACCCCCGAAAGCCAGACTGCTGCACTTCAATCAAGCTTGAAATATGCAGAAATCAAAAAATAGCTGGGGTGACAAAAAAAAATGCATGCAAAAATGCGGTTGACCTATGCCTCCTGTGAGAATTGAACTCACGGCCCCTGGTTTACAAGACCAGTGCTCTGCCACTGAGCTAAAGAGGCTCACGTTTCGAGGGCGGCAAAGAAGCCAATTTAAGCGGCCCATTTGGCTATTCTTTTGGTTCTGCCACCGAAAGATAGTATCTCGGCGAAACATGAGAGAACAATAAACACGTGTTTAAACAGTTGTCAGCACCGATAACTGCTCCAGTTTCGTGCGAGGCCGAGAGGTACGCAAGTATCCATTCATTTCGGCAATCACTCAGTTGGGTTGGCTAATTAAAACTGTGGAGATGTATCCCAATTACCGCTTCCCCGAGATGTAGCTTTCAGTTTTCAGCTTTCATCTGCCAACTGGCTGTCTGTCTGTCTGTCGTCTCGTTGTATCGGTAATTGATAGACTGGTGCACTGAGGCAAATACTCACATTCGCACTCGTGTTCGAATGCAGCACTCACTCTCTCGAGTCTGTTTATTTGGCAAATTGGCAAATCAATTGCCCGAACTGAATAAGCTGCCACACATCAGCAGCACCATCAGCACCTGAGATGTCGCGTTCTATCGGATATACATATGTCTCTTGAGGCAGCAGACACCGCAAAAGTAATTGGCACAATCAATGAAATTAATTGAACGCATCGAAATCTTGTGCGATCTTTGCCAAACTCATTTGCGGTGAAATTCGGCAAGCCAATGCAGATGGGTGTAGAATTGGCAACCACAAGCGAAACCACTTCAAGTTTGAATATTTGTCTAAGCTCCTAGCGAAATAAAGTGAGTGCCTAGCGTTTCATATTCGTATGTTATTTATTCCGTACAGGTGTCAAAGAGGCAAAAACAAGGCAAAATTATTAGGTACCATTAAAGGGGAATTATAATCTTGTATACCCGTATATGTATTATGCCCTTACCTATCGTTCCCATACTTCGCATTGCTAAGCCACTTTCTGTTCAAATATTTAGACATGTGCCCAACAGCCTGGTAGTATTCCTTAAAGCACTCACTTAGCCTGGGGTCATAATTCATTCAAGGTGCTCAGTCCTAAGACCGACGGCAAACACTCTGGAGTGCAGGACCCACTGAGGAAAGAAGTCGTTGAACAATTTCGCTGCCAGTTGGATCCACTTATAAAGTGCAGAAACACGTATACGCACCGTTGCGTTGGCAGAACTCCCCCTTGGGCAGATTATCTGGCAGCAACAGCAGCATACTTAACAACTATTTATCGAGTTTTTCAATATTTTTAATGCCACTTTAAATACTTGACGCGATTATTTTCCACCGATTTTCCTTAGCATGCACACAAATACCTATCCATATACATATATATGTATATATATATATTTAAGCCCCGATTCTGCCCTCAGCCAGCACTTTTTGATCCCGCGAAAGCAAAGTTTCAAGTGCCAAACACACGCAAACTTTTTGCTCTGTTGCAGCAGCATGCAAGTTTGCTGCCACCGAGAGACATAAAACTTTTATAGAAGTTATTAAAAGTGAGACGAAATAGGGGAGGCCGAAGGGGTTGAACCGAGGGGCGGAGAAAGCGGGTTCAGATCTGGTAGCAGGTTTCAGCGCCGAAGAGTTGGCAGAAGGAGAGAGAAATGATTCATTTGCCATTCAATAAATCTTCGCCTTACTTTACTACACCAGGCAGCTGGCCGGCAGTTCTCACTTTCTCACACTCGAAGGAAAATCACTGCCAATCAGGAGAAATGAGGTCTGCAATTAAATACCATTTAAGATAATTAATTCGTTTTTGGCAGGAAGTTAAATTCAACAAAAGTTTAGCACATTGAACGGTTGAATGATTATTCAACCCATTTGATTATTAAAGCCCATTTTTTAAATTGGCAGCCCTTGAATGATCATTATTCAGATCAACTTAGAGTGCTAACAGTCTTAATACTTGTAACTTCTTAATTATATAAATTATTATTATTTAATTAGTTTCATCACCCTTTTCTTTGAGTTTACGCGCAGAGCTCGGTTTTCGCGCTGCTGCATCGGACGGATGCTTTAAGTAATGACCATCAACTGCTGCACGCCGACGGCGCCAGTTTGTACATTGTTATCTGCTAAGGACTGCGGGACTATAAGCCGGGTGCAAGGTGCAAGGAGCAAGGCCCAAACCCAAGCCCAGGCTCAACTCCTTATCCCCCGGCCGAAAGTCGGCCGCCTTCCCCTTCCCGCTGCCATTCATTATTCAAACGCATTAACAGAAGTTGTCCGGCTGGAGCAGGAGCAGGACAATTTTCGTGATATCCTTGACTTGGCATAACTTTGTCCGAGGTGCCCAGGGCTGGGCCTGTCCCTACTGTTCCTGCTGCTCCATGTAGTACGCCTGCCCTTGGTACTGGTCCTGCAAAAAGTTTCCCCGCTGCACTCGAACAATAACAGAGCCAAGTATCCAAGTATTTAAATGCAAATTAGCCCCAAATGATGCAATCATAATGCAAGTGGCTCCAGGACCAGAGCCAAAGGCTCCAGGAACTGAGGAAGCGATGGGGATAAAACGGGAGACTGTTGGGAGACTGTTCCTGCACCAGGTTCGCTTTTAATTTCCACTTGCCTGGTCTCATTTAGCACAATTTGGCAGCCACTCATACTTTCCACTTCTTTTTCTTGCGCTCAAATTAATTTCCACCTCTATTTTGTTATCCTCACTGAAATCCTTGCCTGCTAGACTCGGGCTCGTTTCGGTGCGGAAGATAAATGCATTTCAACACATGTTGTTGAAAGTTAATTTCCGAAAAACGTTGCTCATTTATTGTTAAATGTGCATTTAGTTTTCTTTCCTCTGTTCGCCTTCCCCTTGTTCCTCTTTTTTACGCTCCTACTGTAATGGTAATGCCTTTTTGATGGTTGGATTTGGATTTGGATTTGGATCCAGGCATTTCTTGCCTGATGCACTTTAAATGAGCTGGGTTGGTCAAGCCTTTGAAGTGGCTCGGTCCGGAATTATTCAAATGTTCTCTCGCATTCGTATTCGCATTCCCACGGAATGGCCGGAGTTCAAATCTTTGGCCCACAGCTAACTATTTCCAGCTGCTGCAAAAATGGCCAAAACTTGGCAATCGAATTGCCGGCTCGACCACAAACACAATCGGCCAGCTCCCGAAATGAGCAACTTGAGAATTGAGCTCGATGCCAGAACAAAGAACACACAGTCCGCACAATCCGCACAATCCGCACAGTCCCAACAATACCAACCATCCGGGTGGGCAGGAGCAACTTTTGGTGTTATAATCTGTACCAAATTTAAGTGCTCTTGATATTGCTAATTAACACACAGCCATTCGCACATGCATGAAAGCCATTTGCGAAATTGGAAAAACAAAGACAACGGGCCACCAAAGACTTTTTGTGCTCCTCGGTTGCAGGGTGTAATTGTGATTGGGTTGCTGTTGCTCTTGGCTGGCAGTTCATTATTTGGCCAGCTGCTCCTGCTCTTGGATCACATATTTCCCTGTATTGAGCTCTGCACTTGGAAGTGGTCCAAGAAGCTCAGCTCTTTTTTTGGTTCAGTAAGGCACTGCAACGGGGCGTATGCGTGATATGTGCGACAACAATGCAGGCCGAGAAATTTCGACAAAACTTTTCACATATCCAGTGCATGGTGTCTTTGGGGCGGAATGTGGCAATGAACGCTTGAGAACACACTTTAAAGTCCATTAGCGTTGAGTGGCCACAAAAGCAAAAGTAGCAGGCAAAGCAACTCCAGAATCCAATCAAACAATTGCAAGTCGCATTGCATATTTATTTATGTATATTCGAATGTACTTCAGACGTTCATATTTAGCACAATTTATTCAATTGACAAATTTGCAGTCTGTGACATTTGTCACATGAAAATATGTATGTCCACAATGAGGAGGAATATTTTTGCCTATTATTTGTGTTACTCTGCGGTTGTCAAAATATTGATATCCATGTAAAGCAAATGGAAAATCTTTTTCGCTTTTTATTGCAGCTACTTTATTGAAGTCTTGTGGCAGACTAAGAGAGGAGCAGAAGAAGCCAAGAGATATTCCATGAAATATTGTAACTGCTGCAAATTATCGTTCTTCGTTGCTAACATAAAACTTTTACCACCACCACCACTACGACGACCAGCCATTCAGCCATTCAGGCAGTCCACCCTCCGGAAAACCCTCGAATAACTCTATGCAAATGACTCAGACATTTTGCAATTGATGCTGCTCGGGGGAATGGAAATGCAAGACTTGCGAACCGGCTTAAAGTCCTTTAAAATACGCAAAATACGCTTTCAATAAAATCCGACAGCATAGCTGTGCTCATGAAGTTACCAATTAATATGGGCCATGTGGCTGGAGCATGTAATGAAATTGCTTTCAGCTTAATTCCATTGATGCCGATTGCCATTGATTTCGATATCATTGGTCGCAGTAGATACCATGTCGGGCATTAGCAGGAGACACGACTCGCCATTTCTCCGGAAATCTTCGATAATTTCACATAATCCACAAACTCACCCACCCACACACACACGGAATACGCTCCCACAAGACAACAAACAGAGCGGAACAATAGCCACAATGGCATTGGCAATCAGCACTTGAGATGGAATGCACTGGGGAAAAATCAGCTTACTTAAAGCAAAAATGCGGAAGCTGCATGAGCTTATAAGGATTGTAAAGGAGAATTTTTAATTTATTTCAAGTGCAATTGTGACAAAATGCTCTTGTTTTGTCTGTTGAGTCTTAGTGGATTGTAATATTTTATTAGAAATATTTAATTAATATTTAATACTTAAAAAGCTTCAGTTAGTTGCATACAATGACCCTGGGACTAAACCAAAAATCCATTAAATGTTGTTAACCTGACAATAAGATAGTTCTTTATTCTCGATATTTTTTTCAAATTGAAATTTTTTCGCTGTGCAGAAGAGCTTATTGTGAGTTTGTGGCTTTAGAACAATGTCTCAATGACTGACTGAGAAAATGAGTGGGAAACTGACTGGGGAATGGGTCATGAGGCGCTGCGAAAGGGTTCATGACGAGACATTGGCATTGGCCGACTGTTGGCTGGCTACAAAGTAT